CAACTGTTAAATTACAGGAATTGACACATAAACTGAAATCAATTTTTTTTTTTTCAGTATTTACTGGGAATTCACGAAAATATTTAATTATTTAAAAGTTTGGCGTCGGTAATGTTTTTAATGTTTTTGAAAGAAGTCTCTTATGTTCATGTTCAACAAGGCTGCATTTATTTACTGCAGTAAAACAGTAATAAAATGTTTTCTATTTTAATATATTTTAAAATGTAATTTATTTAAGCTGGATTTTCAGCCATTTCTCCAGGCTTCAGAGTCACATGATCCTTTAGAAATCAATCTAATATCCTGATTTAGTGTAACATTTATATTACCAATGTTGTGCAGCTTAATATTTTTGTGGAAACTGATTTTTTTTTTTTTTCAGGATTCTTTGATGAATAGAAAGTTCAAACAGAATGTATTTGTAATTAATTTTTCTAAAAATGTAAAAGTCTTTGTTACGTTTGATTAAATTTAATGCGTCCTTGCAGAATAAAAGTTAGTGTAAAATGTGCATAATGTATTGTCAAGGCTGCTAGTAGATTGAAACTGACAAAAGGGAGCTATCGCTTGTGTTGGTCAAGCAGGAATGGTTATAGGCCAGTACGATATTCTCTAAAATGGCCGATTTATCGCCCTAGCACTTTAAATTGTAGCGAAATTAGATCCTGTGGTCAATTCTATGTTATTACTTTTTATCTACCCACAATCCTCTACAAAAGTCATAAATCTAATTTTCAGTACAAAAAAAAAATATATATACTAAAATGGAAACTTTCAGTTAGGACCTAACCAAATCCATACATACACTAGCTACGCGTGGTAATGTGACCACATCTCTCTGGTATTCAACTTTCAGGCCAGATCCATCACACTTTGCTCTGAGAGTCACCTGAGATGCTCCTAGTGCTGTTGAGAAGATTCATTCTGTGACTACAATAAACAAACAGTGCAGTAAACTGTTTCTTGACAAACAGTCACTTAATATTCCCTCTCACTGGTTTTGCAGAATTCTGCTGACTGCATATATCAGGCCAACTTCAACAAGGGTAAAACACACCCTCTACTTTGGCTCAGCTGGCCTCATCTAGACGCCATCGGTCAGACATCGGGCCAGACCTCTGGACTACGGAACAAAGTGGGATACAAACACAGCGGCAATGGCGCGGACCTCTTTGCTGAAGCCCTGTGGTTACAGAAGAGTCCAAATTTAGCTGAAAGACCTGTTAAAACGACTCGAAATGATTTTAAAATGAGATGTTCTTTTCTAACAACTCTGGGGTGCACGGATATCCCAGTTAATAAAGCTCATGCTGATTTCATTCAACAAACACATCTGAGCTAAACTGGCTTTAGAAATGGCTCCCCAACCCTGGCTGCCTTTATAGTTTTTTTAATCTCTTAAAAGGCAAAAATCCCGATCTTCACCAATAACCTCACACTGTAATATGTACCCTTCTTTACTTCTGCATCTGTTAATACTCTGTCAGGTATTTAAAAACTGGCAGGTTTGGCATCTTGTGTTTCAGAATATGGTAGTGAGTTGTGTCAAGTATCTTATACTTCTCTCAAACCAACAGGCCACATAAACCACAAGTGCCACGACGAGATTCTCCATTGCCTCCAGTTGTGCACACAGCTGCTGGACTCATTTAGGGCTATTAAACCAGCATTTGGTCTATTTACAGAAATGAAAAGCAAACACACTCAATATTTTGAGTTTTTGGTTTCTGTACTAACATCATGTTGATATAGACTATTTTCCAGCCAGTGACTGAACTGGCATAATAAGACCATGATGATCACGGTTTGACTTTGTTCCTGTCAATATTTCATAATGTCTCAATACTGCACTACACTGAGAATAAATCAGCAGGAAAAGATAAATACAAGGAGTAGTAATGATTAAGAAATAAAGACCCATTATGGGCTCACTGAGAGATGTATATATTTTACTAAATAAGATTATGTGAAATCTACAATATCAAGGAGCCTATAATGATTATTTCCTAATTAACTAATGAATGGCACGTCGCAATGTTGTTTTTGGCACATGTAACAGTGCTTTAAGATTTTCAGGTCTAACAGTAATATATTCAGTTAGGAAATATATAGAAATGTAATCAAGTAATCAAATGTAAAATAACACAGCACAGTCTTTAATGTATAATTAAATATATTAATCATCCTTATTAAAGCTACAAAAAGTTATTCAGTCAAGAGCAGTGAGTGATTATCTCTTTTACTTATGTTCAGAAAGAAGGCTCACACAGTCACACCTGCCTAGCCTCGTGAGACCATCCTGATCTCGCGAGCTTTCAAGGTTTCACTCGCAGATCAGTCTGGATACTTTCCGTTAAAGAAAATTTGGGAGCAGTTCACCAAACGAACGTCCAATCAGCGTTGGCTTTGAGGCGGGTTGAGGTGTGACGCAACGAGAAGCGCGTCAGTTCAGTCTAAAGAACATGTCGGCTTCAGCGGATGAAACTAGCATCAGCGTGGCTATCGAGCAAGTTTTATCGGAATTACAGAGTATTTCTTCACTGAAAGAAGAGCAAAACACTGCTCTGGAGGCTTTTCTCAGAGGAAAAGATACGCTCTGTTAGTACGTCATATGCTTCGTTGATCTGATTGGTTGATTTGGCCCGTCTATCACCAACATAGGCCAATCAGCTAACCAGTATTTTCGCCCCTTACCAAAACTACTTCAACGGAAGGTTTCCAGATGGATATGCGGAGCAAATCCATCTGGCGGAGTCAGGTTAACACCTGCCTTGATTGCATTTTGCTTTTCTTTTCCATATGTTTTCTTATTCATATACACTCACCTAAAGGATTATTAGGAACACCATACTAATACTGTGTTTGACCCCCTTTCGCCTTCAGAACTGCCTTAATTCTACGTGGCATTGATTCAACAAGGTGCAAAAAGCATTCTTTAGAAATGTTGGCCCATATTGATAGGATAGCATCTTGCAGTTGATGGAGATTTGTGGGATGCACATCCAGGGCACGAAGCTCCCGTTCCACCACATCCCAAAGATGCTCTATTGGGTTGAGATCTGGTGACTGTGGGGGCCATTTTAGTACAGTGAACTCATTGTCATGTTCAAGAAACCAATTTGAAATGATTCGAGCTTTGTGACATGGTGCATTATCCTGCTGGAAGTAGCCATCAGAGGATGGGTACATGGTGGCCATAAAGGGATGGACATGGTCAGAAACAATGCTCAGGTAGGCCGTGGCATTTAAACGATGCCCAATTGGCACTAAGGGGCATAAAGTGTGCCAAGAAAACATCCCCCACACCATTACACCACCACCACCAGCCTGCACAGTGGTAACAAGGCATGATGGATCCATGTTCTCATTCTGTTTACGCCAAATTCTGACTCTACCATCTGAATGTCTCAACAGAAATCGAGACTCATCAGACCAGGCAACATTTTTCCAGTCTTCAACTGTTCAATTTTGGTGAGCTCTTGCAAATTGTAGCCTCTTTTTCCTATTTGTAGTGGAGATGAGTGGTACCCGGTGGGCTCTTCTGCTGTTGTAGCCCATCCGCCTCAAGGTTGTGCGTGTTGTGGCTTCACAAATGCTTTGCTGCATACCTCGGTTGTAACGAGTGGTTATTTCAGTCAAAGTTGCTCTTCTATCAGCTTGAATCAGTCGGCCCATTCTCCTCTGACCTCTATCAACCATCTCTAGGGTTTACAGAGAATGGTCCGAAAAAGAAAAAACATCCAGTGAGCGGCAGTTGTGTGGGCGGAAATGCCTTGTTGATGCCAGAGGTCAGAGGAGAATGGCCAGACTGGTTCGAGCTGATAGAAGGGCAACAGTGACTGAAATAACCACTCGTTACAACCGAGGTATGCAGCAAAGCATTTGTGAAGCCACAACACGCACAACCTTGAGGCGGATGGGCTACAACAGCAGAAGACTCCACCGGGTACCACTCATCTCCACTACAAATAGGAAAAAGAGGCTACAATTTGCAAGAGCTCACCAAAATTGAACAGTTGAAGACTGGAAAAATGTTGCCTGGTCTGATGAGTCTCGATTTCTGTTGAGACATTCAGATGTTAGAGTCAGAATTTGGCGTAAACAGAATGAGAACATGGAACCATCATGCCTTGTTACCACTGTGCAGGCTGGTGGTGGTGGTGTAATGGTGTGGGGGATGTTTTCCTGGCACACTTTAGGCCCCTTAGTGCCAATTGGGCATCGTTTAAATGCCACGGCCTACCTGAGCATTGTTTCTGACCATGTCCATCCCTTTATGGCCACCATGTACCCATCCTCTGATGGCTACTTCCACCATGTCACAAAGCTCTAATCATTTCAAATTGGTTTCTTGAACATGACAATGAGTTCACTGTACTAAAATGGCCTCCACAGTCACCAGATCTCAACCCAATAGAGCATCTTTGGGATGTGGTGGAACGGGAGATTCGCATCATGGATGTGCAGCCGACAAATCTGCGGCAACTGTGTGATGCCATCATGTCAATATGGACCAAACTCCCTGAGGAATGCTTCCAGCACCTTGTTGAATCTATGCCACAAAGAATTGAGGCAGTTCTGAAGGCAAAAGGGGGTCCAACCCGTTACTAGCATGGGGTACCTAATAAAGTGGCCGGTGAGTGTATATATATATATGTATAAAACATAATTTAGGGATCCGTTGGGAAAGGAAAAGCGTCAACTTAATCTCAATCCCTTGAAGTGCCATTTATTAATAGAAAATAAAAGATAAGCATGATTACTTCCTATTTCCACTTAATGTAAATAAGTGACACCATCATTTGCATTACATCATTTGGAACAAGTTCATATGGCACATAGCACACATAGCAGTTCAACAGAAGTTAAACTGTTCGTAACATTTTAGGAAATAATAATGATGCTGTGGGTCAGTGGTTAAAGTCTAAAAAATCTGGGACGAGAGCAAAAGTTTCTAGATTCAAATCACAAAGTCGTCGCCAGTAATACAACACACTCACTTATATTGCTGGTGGTCCTTGGTGCTCCTGGTCTTGGCCATGAAGCGCTCAGCGAGCTTCTCCAGGTTGCGTGAGTACTCCATCTCGATCTCGGACTTCTTGCGGAAGAAGTCCTGGAGGTCCTGAAGGAGCTGGACCCTCATGTCTGTCTGCTGCTCCAGACATTTCTGCTGTTCCACCAGTTGGGCTCGAATCTCTGAACAAACACAACCAAACATTGTTTGTTGTAAGAGTCACTCAACAGAAATCATGAATGGAGTGAAAGCACAGTTTCATTGCACGCTTCAAAAGTTCTTTGGTTCTCAAAACCTCTTGCTAGCAGCTCAGCGAAGTAAGACTAGAATTTTAAAAATGGCCAGCAATATATCTTCTATAAATAAACCATTCAGATTTGCCCTGAGCTAGTTTCATTGTGCAGTATCAGCAATGCTACAATAATCCAGGCTCATCAGGTGGAGCAGGTAATGCCCTTGTGCTGCATTTCATTACAGCCGGAATGAGGAACGGTCCCAGAAACTAACTTAATGGCTCTCTAAAGCCAATGTGTGTACAGCTTGTACAGCCATGCAGGCACTACACTTCATTTAACAAGCCTTTTTTTTGCCCAAATTACCTCCGGTTTCCTCATGTGATTGCCCCCTTGTCATTGGAAATGGAGCTCATTAAATTTGCAGTCCACTGTGGAGACTCAGTAGCTCCATACCATAATATACATTCAGACTTCCTGGGATCTGAACCACAATACCCACACAATAGGTAGACGGCGCTCTAATAGCACAAATATTTCAACAACATTATGGTAATTGTATCCCGTGCAAGCCCCCAAATACTCATATCAATAGCCTGTCTGACTGTATTAAAGAAAACAAATGGCAAGAAAAAGCACGGAAGTTTAAACATGAGCAGTTTTTATAAGGGTGCAAGAAAATAGATAAACGTGAATATCATGATATTATGTTTGATGATACTGTATCGAATCTCAAAAACACTATCAATATATATATTTTTTTTTTTTACATTCAAGACTTGTGGCAGTGGGTTTGTGTTCCGTTTAAACCCCGACCACTAGATGGGAGTGTTATCATCACTGAACGTGAAGTGCAGGGGTGCATCGCTAACATTAACATTAGCAAACTCCGGTCACTTATACACCACAGTGGAAGCAGCCACTAAGGAGGCACTCATGTTGTTTGCAAAATAAGCCATGCCAATATCCAATACTCAGGAAACAATTTGAATTTAAGTGCACACTTGACATCCTGGCACCATCCACACTGTTGTTCCGTTTAGATGAATATGTAACTATAAAACGGTTAGTTGCAGTCCTTGGTTCTGATTGGTCAATAGCTGCGTTCTATTCATGATAAACCACGGCTATGATCGCTTCACCCAACGGTTCTGTGCATCACTGCAACACCCTTAACAACCATCCTCAGCAACATAAACAATCAATATAGCTCCATTCCATGTATTATGTATTTCAGCAAAATTAACCGTTTATTGTGTGTGAGTGTTTGTGTGGAAGCCCACAGTTTCTGAAGTGCGGAGGGAATATTACTGTATTTAATAGTTTTCTGTTGCAGGTATTGTACTGTATGTCCATCAATTTACACTCACGCTGTGCCACAAATCTGTCTGTTTTAAACTAAAAGACGGAAAACAGATGTTTTCTCATGCAGAGAGATAAGCAGATGTATGCGTGTGAGAAAAAAATCTTGGGTGAAAAAAAATACATGACACAGCGGATGAGAACAGTTCCTATTCTCTGCTTTTATTTGAGCTCCACACGATGAGGCATGTTACCCTATATTCTCATGACATTTACTGTAACTGTCAGGAACTATTTTTTTAAGCGGAAGGATAGCATTTAATGAATTTACTTTAAAAAAGTAACATTAATATATACATTTTTGGTTTTCATTCTTAAAATTATAATACTACAATACTAAATTGGTGTTTTGATGTTGAAATTTGGAAAAAAAAAAACGGAATTTTTTTAAAAAAATATCAATTAAATTGCATTAAATAAATAAAAAATTACACAAGATTAACCAAACCGTAGAGAACCAATGCAAGATTTTTAATGACAGGCTTTAAATATATCCAGGATTGTAGCACAAGATGCCTGGTTTAAGATAAACACATTCACACACGTAAGAAACTATATCCCGTCTGTCTGGAACACTTTGTTCTGACTGGTCTTTTTCTTTTTCTCTTAAATTTTTTTTTCATAAGGGCCACTTAATTATTACATTTTTAGTATTCCGACATGTCATATTTTGCACTAATAACCCGCTGATTAAAAATCTGTTACATAATCCACAATACACCATTACCTCAAAGACATTCAAAGAGATTCCAAGAGCAATATAAAACTTACTGCGCTCGGCTTTCCTTCGTCACCAGTATCGAGTGACCCTCTGCGATTACAAAGAGAATTCCTGGCCCTGTGAGGTCATGTGTATGGTAAACATCTGCATGGAGTCAGTGTGCTCAAGCATGTGTGAGACCGTGTGTCGGATCAAAGCCCCTGTGATCCACTTCAAACAGAGAGATAGATGTGAGCACCTGTGAGCCTTCTGATACTGCACAAACAAGACCTGAAGGTGGAATCCAAGATAATTAGCCTTCCACTCTCTGTCTCTACAGTCAGCTTTAACAATTGCGGCTCTCGCAGGTGGGTTACTAAGATAGCTAATAGCTGGGATGAGTGTTTATCGAAGATTGCATGCTATTCTTTAAAGCGCAGGAAAAGTATGTGAGCAAGGAACAGGGCCTGGGTCCATTTAAAGATAACTGGGACCATTTTTTAACCTTTTATGACCTCCATTGTACGTTACCCAGAACAATAGACATCACATTGATGGAAGTATAGTCTCTCAGTTTGTAAAAACAAAAACATACAAAAAAAAAAAAAATCAACTTAACATTTAATTTTATGGGGCAAAAAATGCTTACAACAACCTTTTTTTCCCCCACAGTAATAATTTTTTTTTTTTTTTTACATTACGGTAATGGGAATTGGGGCAATTAAATGTGCAACAAAATCATGATATCTATCTATGCTATCATGACAGCTTCAGTATTCTCATATACCGATAACCGCAGCATGCTGTACTTTTTCCTCATACAGTCTGTGCCAAAAGCTATGTGGGACATACTGTACCAGAATCCTGTATGCAGACGATCTCATCAGCGCTACCTGAAATAGCAACATTTGTCAGGAGACTTGTGTTAATGCACTGGGTTATCCAGAACTGCCATCTGCTTAACAACTCGGCATGGGGAATGCTTTCCAGACTGTCACGTTTGCTTAATTGCCACCGTGAGGTGCCAAACTATGTATTTGGGTAATTGAGATGACATGTCAAGCAATGCAGTGTGACATGTCCGGCGCGGTATGATATGCTTCTGTATACTGCGTCTAAAACAACTGTAAACATCCTTGTACATGCAGTTTTTATGCCTGTTTTTATTAAAATTTCAAATTAAAGAGACCTATCTTCGCTATCGATCCATCTTATCTGAACACCACTAATGTGCACTGTCACTACTTCAACTCATGAAAGACCAGCTTCTCAATACAAACATCATACTCATAATAGATAGTGAGTGTTTCTTTGAAGACAGGGAGACAGGTGGGCAGTGGCTGGGGGAATATCCTGTTTTCTTACAGTTCAGCACAGCTGGGAGACGTCAGTCAGTCGGCCTTGCGCCAGTGCTGATAGCCCATGGTCAGATTGATTTTTACCATCTCCAGTGCATCAAGGAAAGTCTACTCACTTTTGAGAGCTCAAAGAGCAGTGAGTCTGCATTCAACCATTAACCCTCTGGGGTCTGAGGTGTTTTCGGGGTCCTTGAGATGTTTTGGCATGCTCTGACACTTCTGCTTTTTTCAGTTGCTTATAAACATATTAATGGCACAGGTGAAATTACACTCTATATAGCACACACAGGGCTACCATAATATGTGAGCAACATGTATGTACATGTTTGTATTTTTGAGAGAATATTGTTTATGCGTGGTTATTGAAAAAACTAAAAAATAAAGTTTCTAATATAAGGCCACAAATAACATACTAAATATCTGTCCACAAGACTTTTGACAAGTGGATGTTGTTGCCTAGAGTTTTTGCTTCAAATTGATCTGAAAATCATTCTGCCTAATCATTCACATAAAACAATAGATTGTTTTAAATTGTGAAAAACATTTTTTGTTTGCAAAGGCAATATGCGGATGGGCGTGAACGACCCAACCCCCTCATAAATAATTAGGCAGTTCTCACCTGAGCAGACTGCATACTAATGAGCCTTTCATTCAGGGGTGTCACACAAGAAAGAATGCAAGGACAATATATATATATATATAAATAAATAAATAAATATTTACACACACACACACACATATATATATATATATATATATATATATAAACAATCAAAATATAAATGAAAGCCAAAAGCACATTTTTAGTCACCTTTTAGCCATCCATATACCATTTTTAGCCATCCACCACGGTAAAAATAAACCAGTCGCATTTCAAAGTCGTTCGCGAAATGACCACCAGGTGGCGCAAAAGGACATTTAGCAAAACGTAAGTGGGGCTAATGTCTGTAGCCTAAGGATGAAATACTACAAGTAATGGTAATTTCCAAATAAGCCTACAACAAACATTTATAGCCTACTCCGTAACTGTTGGTCATACAGATAAGATATAATCTTTTAAAACTGTAAAAGGCTAAAGTATAGGCCTACACTCACAGGCTAAAGACAAAACGTTTTCTCGCTCATGTGAGAAACAAACGTTCGGGTATTTCTCAGTGAGAAAATTCATAGCCGAGCGGTAGAACTTACGATTCATCATCAAGATGACGCGGGTTCAAATCCCGCACAAGCCTGGTCTGTTGTAAGTTTTATATTTATTTAGATTTGTCTAGCTCTAAAACTCTGTTACACCATACAGTTTTTTTGCTTATATAAATAAAATACAATTATCATGCATTTCCATTTTACACACAAAATAGTACCCAACAGAACGACTTTGCATCTGTATAATAATAGGCTACCAATCGTAATTTCAAAAGCAGTTCTGCAATAAATAAATAGCCTATATATACTATATATATTTTTTTTCAGGGCTGCCAACTCTCACGCACTGAGCGTGAGACTCACGCAATTGACCCAAATCTCACGCT